TTCTGTCGATCCTAAAGAACAATTTCACAATAAGGGAAGTTCCTGCACTTCAGACTCTTGCTTAAATTGGCATCAACTACATTCATGTAACTTTCTAGTGGAAGGAGGACAAGAACAGCAGAAGAGAATAGTAGCTCATGTGCTGCTGGGCTGCAGCCTTGCATTGAGCGCACAGCCTTCCCCAGTTAGTTGGTGTTGAGGTGGGTGTGCTGTGCCCAGCCACCAGCATCTCCCTGGAGCTGTTGTCTCCAGCTCCATCTGCCTCCTGTGGGTTACTCCAGCTCTCTGAATAGAGGACACCGATGCTCCCTAGGCGAGGGATGTGTTGCTAGACTTGATTCATACTTCTCAAGCATGTGAGATGCTTGGCCTTGTTGGGGATGTGCAGCTTTGCCATGCTAAACAATAGATATTCCCGAGTGGGAATATCTTGGGAGCCCTGTGGGAAGAGATGTGGGTGTCAAAGGGACATGAGATGGTGTCAGTAGGAGCAGGGGATCCAGTTCTGGCAGTCGTCCTGGTCCTAGGAGCTCGCAGCTGCCACCTGGCCCTGCTCCAAAGCCGTGCGTTTTTGGTGCAGAATAATAGACTCCCCCTTCCCCTTGTCTTGTTTCAGATGAGGCCCGTTCCAAGAAGTGTGGGATCCTTGTTCACTGCCTCGCTGGCATCAGCCGATCTGTAACAGTCACTGTCGCCTACTTGATGCAAAAACTCAACTTGTCCCTGAACGATGCCTATGACTTTGTGAAAAGGAAAAAATCCAACATTTCCCCAAACTTTAACTTCATGGGCCAACTCCTGGACTTTGAGAGGACTCTGGGACTCAACAGCCCTTGTGACAACCGCTCGCCCAGTGAACAGCTCTACTTCACCACCCCCACCAACCACAACCTGTTTCAGCTGAACACCCTGGAGTCCACATGAAGAGGACACTGCCTGGTCGGGAACTCGAGCATCGAATCGCTTCTCTTGAGCATTTCAACTCTTACGAAAATATCTGTCTTGCCAGGCAGCTCTGGAAGGAGTAGCTTCTCTGGGCAGAGGTGCCTGATCGCTGCTTTAGGAAGGCTAATGCCGTTCACTAGTATCCTGATCCAAGTGGTTCCAAGAGGTAGTGTTTTTACAGGGGGTTATTTAATACGGGCGATGTTACAGCATTTTGAACGCAGCTGTCACCGGCAATAACCGCTTTCCTGGGTGCATTGGGACTGTCAGAACACGCACACGTGTGAAGAGCTACCAGGGGTTAGCTTGCTGTGGAAAATAAGGAGATTTATGCACTTGGAAACCGTGAACAAAAGGTGTTGGGCCAAGACTGTTTTAAAACCCAAGTTTACTTTTTTTGATTTTAAAAAAAGCAAACAAAAAAAAGGTAGATCTTACTCGAGCTTTGGGTTCAAACTCTTTTTAAATATGTAAGTTCCTGACTGTTTGTACAGACGAGGTTGCAAAACCAGTATTTTATTCTGTCTCTTGTTTGATCATTTATTTTTTTTTTTTTTTAATCAAATGTTTATATTGACCAAATGCATTTTGCACACTTTGTGAAGCCTTGGTATGTCCTGGCATATTACTGGGTACTCCAGAGAGAGATACATGCTGCTGCTGTCGTTGTTAGCATCTAGTAGGAAGCTTTGTTATGTGTGAAGGCCAGTTGGGCTTAAATGCAACCCCTTCACCACTCCTGCACTCACAATCACAAACTCTGCACTGATTCAGCCAAGGTGACTAAGCCGCAAGCTTTCTCTTTTTTTTTTTTCCTATTTTTTTTTTTTTTAATGCCACCCCTGCCAAAAAAACACTGTTTGCTATCGCCAGAGGTAAAACTCTTGTAGCCTCCAGAGTTGGTAGAAGCATGTCTGAGCCCAGCTTCATTCTCTGCTGCCTGTTGACTGACTTAACGTCATCCAGCTGGCCCGAAACCATCCCAGCTTCCCGAGCACTGAAGGTAGTTGCGATGCTGGCGTTTCTTGTGCACACTCGATTCTTTCCCATGTGTGCGGGGTGGAGGGGGAACGCAGCGAGCGCCCGGAGCAGAGCCAGGATTGCGTAGCGGGACGGGACTGAATCGTCACGCACGGAGCGTGTGAGGGGCGCGAAGAGATGTGCAAGTGAGGAGGAGAGCATTGTAACAGAGAATTTTTATATATATATATATATATATATGAATATATATATTAACTGGCAAATTCTGAGATGATTGGAGCTTTCGACAGAGGTTCTGATTTTTTTTTTTTTTTTCCTCCTTCTTCCTCTTTTGAATAACTTTTATGCCGTGCCTTCTATTCTGAGAAGACTTGTATGTATTTCTGGCTAGTGTTTGGCAAACTCCTTATACCAAGCTGGGAGGGGAGGAAGTGGTAATAATTTCTGGGAGGAGGGCAGAACGGATTTGGAGATTTCTTTATTGGCTGCAATGTAGTCCCTCCTTTCTCCCCCCTCCCTGTCCACTTTAACTCTCACATAACTGAAAGAAAAAAAAAAAGCCACGGATTTTTTCTAAATATCCAGTTTTTTGTACTTTTTTCAAGAAAATGGAAAAAATAATTAAAAAAATCTCCATCTGGAGGAATGTTTGACGCTGTCACATCCTGAAACTGTTCTTTTTGTTACAAGATGTTACCAGAATGTTGGAATGAGCTTCTGTTTCTTGTTTTCTGGTTGTTTTTTGTTTGTTTGTTGGGTTTTGTTTGCCACAATGTTGGGATCGTGGGTCATTGGAAGGGAGAATGGGCGTACGGTTGTGAGTGAGAAAATTGGGAATATCCTAATTGCATCTTACCTCATGGAGGAATTTATTTTTTCAGGGATTTTTTGACAGTGCATCTGTATTGCGTTACAGCTAAGCTGGTTTGTAAAGGCTTCCTGTGCTGTTAGTGGTCTTTCTTTCTTTAAAGGAAAAAAATAAGATGCATCTTTCTGATTAGTACAAATGAGAGCTTGTTAGTGAGGAATGGTTCTGATTTCTGAGTTATGAAGGAAAATTAGTGACCCTATATATACTGATCCAATATTGGGACTTTGTTTATATTGCAAATAAATATTATTTTTTCTTTAAAAATGATGTTTGTGTCAGATGCTTGTCTAGCCTCTGCCCATATAAGGGCATGCTGCTCTTATCCGTTTTTTATGGTCAATTAGTATTCTTCTGTGACCATGAAGAGCATTTGCTGGGCAGTGTTCAAGTGTGGTGTTTGGTTTCATGCACAGCTTAATTTTTAAGACCTGTGGTAAAATGGAGAGGGGGAGGTGGGAGGGCGAGGAGAAGGATAAGGGGGTATTGGATAAACCAGAGAACAAAGAACAGCTTGAGAATGGGACTGGCTTTGACCCCAGCCATTCCTCTGCGCCAAAAATAAATAGATAAACTAAAGACACTTTTGTTCGCCGTTTAAGCGTGGCCTACAAAGGCATGGCAAAGCCTTGCCCACAACTGTTGTGTTAGCAGACCGTGTTTTGGTAGGAAAGCAAGAAGTTGTGGCCTTGTGGGCGGCCACCTGATGACTTATCCTGGGTCTCTTGGAGAGCAGGAGCCCCCTCCTGCATCCTTGGGGGAAAGGGGGTGCAGTGTGGGTTGCACATGGGCTGTGCTGTCCCCCTGTGCTCCCCAGGTGCAGTTTGTGGGAAATCTGGAGTGGCTGATGAGGGTGTTTTAGGGTGAAATGTGGCTCTGAGTGCAGCCCAGCTAAGGGAGCTGTGGCTCCCCACAACTCTGCTTGTAGCTGGGTAGGGGGGAACCCAGCTTGTTTTAACCTAAATGACAAGAAATTAAATGGCTATCTATTCAGTTGTTCAGTTCCTCACAGTGAGTATATGTGTCACCTTGTTCTTCTAATCCTAGGGCCTGAGCACCAAAGACCAGGTAGCTTAATTCCAGAAGGAGCTCAGGCTGGTGAGTGCAGAGGGGAGATAGAGGCTGAAGCATCAGCCCAGGGAGTGTGTGTGTGTGTGTGTGTGTGTGTGTGTGTGTGTGTGCATGAGTTTGTTTACTCCTTAACTGCATGATGGGGAATCTATTTATTGATTTAGAGGTCTGTTTGTGGCTAAACAAATGAAAATCTACCTGGTATGCAGGGAAAAAAAGACCTCTAGGTTTTACCTTGTAATTACGTGGTAGAATACCTCTTGAGGAAGATAGGAAACCATGCTGGAGGCTGTGCACTGGCGTGCAGAATAGCTTGTCAGGTGTATGGCTATATTTGCTTCCATCTAATTTCCTCTTAGGATTTTCTGCTAAGGTGTGGAGTAGGATATTAGCAGTTAGCATTAGCTCTGTAAGCTCATTTGTGTGGTAGCTGAGTTGTGGCTGGCTGGAACAGCACAGCTGCTGTTTTGCCATGGCTTTGGAGGAAGAGCTGGTGTGCAGGCAGCTGCCAGGCTGCTCCTCTGGCAGCTCCCTGGGGTACCTGATCCTCAGAGATGCAAGTCTACCCTGAGTGTCCCAGCACTGCTGCACTCAAAAGCCCTATTGCCAAAGGAAGGAGATGACTTGTCTGAAAATCATCCTGCCACCTGCAAGTGCTCTTTCCTCCAAGACCCAAAGCAGCCTTTTCTGAGCTTCCTGGCCTCAACAGCAGGGAGCAGCCAGCCTGGCTGGTCTTCAGGCATCAGTGTTTTACAAATGTCTTGCACCCGTGCTTCTTGGCTCAGAGGGGTTTCCTTGGAGACCTGAAGTCCTGTAATTTAGTGAGGCGAAGAGAACTGACACCAGGCGAGGGGCAATGCTGGAGAAATAGTTACAGAGGGAAAAGAGAACATGGGGTCTGTCTACACTCTCTTGCAGAGGCAGGCACGAGCATGGCTGAGCGTAGGAGCACGGGCTGAGTGAGAAAGCTGGTTATGTTCAGAGCAGTGGAATTTGGCAAGGAGATACAGCTTCCCACACGCAGCAGGGAGAAGCTCCTCGGTTAACCCATTGATTCCAGATGAGCTGCTTGTAAGATGCTCTGTGGTGTTCTGCTCTACAAAACCAGGTAATCTCCTGTTTGGGCACAGAGAGCTGTGCCTGGGTTTTCACTTGTGATGCCACAAGTCCTCAGGCAATACAAATGGGAATTTATCTTTTTTCCCAATGAATGACTTTGTCTTAACTCCTCATTTGAACAGTTGGAGGGACCACAGGGCCTAGATGCTTTAAAAAAGTTTCTCCTTTTCAAGTCATGGCAAAAGCCCAAAGCTCTAAGCACAGAGCTCAGCTTCTGCAATTCCCCATTGGGAAGCCCAGCATCAAGAGCTCTATGAGCTTGGGGAAGGGGCTTTGTGATTACTTGTAGCTTTTTTTCCCTTGCTTACGTCCCCTTCCCTTGGTGTGGCAGCAAACACGTTCTGAGCATGATGCAAGTCAACCTCTGCAACTCTGAACTTGTCTGCTGTTGCATCACCTGGAGACGCACATGGAAAAGGAGACTCTTCCTGCTACCATCTGAATTTGGGTGCTCACATTTCCAAGGTAACCAGGTTATTTGTGGGCTGTTATAGTCTTGTTTTATCCTTTGTGTGAGCAAATTAGGCTATTTGCAGTGTTGCAAAGGCACTCAAATAGTTCAGCTAATGAACACGTCCCTGTATTTACAGCCAACTGGCACAGGCTGTGATAGTCATGCTCTGAGGTGCTTGTAAGGAGTGTGAAAGCAGGCTTTCTTCCTGATTTTGTGCCATTTGCTCCCATGCCACCTTGAATCTGTCTCTTAATTGTGTAGTGCTGGGCTGGCTAAATGTAATCTGGGATGAGAGGATGGGTGAGGGAATGTTCAGCAGGGAGAGCAGCTCCTGGAAGTCCCATTCAGCTTCCACGTCCTGTTCCCTCAAGTGTCTTTATTCAAACTGCGCAGTTGCCCTTTCTCCGGGGTTTGTCCCCCAGCCTCCTTGCTGTGTCTCCCAGCAGCACAGGCACAAAGGATGGGCCATAGTGAGGCCTCCTGGAGCTGCCCTGTCCGGTCTGGCACTGTGGGGTCCAGGCTGCAAATGTGGCTCGGCAGCAAACGCGCCTGTTTGCTGGGGGCCGTGCTCGCGTTTGAACAGCTGTCTGCGTGGCATCCGTGTGGGAACCGCCTTAAATTGGCGGGAAAAGGTGAGGCGTCGGACCTCAGGACAGCTGTCCCCAGGGTCCTGCCTCACCACACGCTGCTCGGGGGGCACCTGAGGGGACCCCGCCTGGTGGCCTGAAAGGCTCATGGCCGTCACAGTGGTACAGAACTGCGGCTGGGTCCTGCGGAGGAGCTGGGAGGATGAACAGCCCCGGCAGGAAGGCCCTGAGCCGGCCGAACGCCTCAGCCTGTGATGGCGGCACGGCCCTCGGCAGCCGCGATGGAGGCGGCACCTGTGGTCAGGGACTGAGCTGCTTTGCCATGGAACTGTGAGTTTCTGGAGCCTGCGGGCTCCTCCCTGACACCTCCCGGCTTCCCTGCTCCGCTGTGTTGTGATCCCGTGTTTGGGCTGGGAGCTGGGTCAGGGCGGAAGCTGCGGTTTCAGCTCTGGTGGCTCTGTCAAGGGTTGGGGTTTAATTACGGGTTGGGAACGAGTCCTGTGGCAGGCGCAGCCACCCGGGCCGGCTGGATGGCCATGGGCTGCTGGGACCCTGTCTCTGTGGGCCGCGTGGGCCCCTCGGTGCTGGGGCAGTGTGGAACCCCCTCCCCTGCCTGGGGCAAGGCAAGACCACCAGTGCTTTGCAGGCCTTTCTTCCTCCCTTCCAGCCGTGCTCATAGCTGAAATTGCTCTTGTTCTGCATTATCCTTATGTGCTTTCCCTGGTTTCTCCACTGCCTTCTGTTTCTTCAGATAGCTGGGAGTTGAGGTACTCCTACCTGGCAGCGGTTCCTGTAGTCCTGTAGGAGAACAGAGCCCTGGCCCCATTTCTTCTTGGAGACATTGAGATGTTGGAAATGGAGATGAGCTGTTCTGTGGGGAGATTTGGAGGGGATGATATGTGTGTTACTTATGTGCTGCCCAGTGGTACGAGCGATCCAAGAGCATGTAGGGCCTTAAGAAGTATTTGGTGAGGGACCCAAGTCTGGGGAGAAAAGGGAATCCAGACAGATTTATTTATTTCCCTACTTTCTTTCCCTGGAGAAACATCTGGCTTATGTAAAGCCATTTGCTGGGTTTCTCACTGCTTTATTTTGAAAGTCTCTGCATTCGGGCACTCTGCTCTTCTCATCTCCCTGCTCTTCTCCCATCACAGCCTCAAGGGCAGATTCTTCATGATTTGGGGTTTTGCTTTTATGAAGTTTACTCTTTGTTTCTGGCCTGTGTTGTCTTTTTCTTTTATTTTCTTTCCTTTTCTTGTAAAGGAGTGCTCTAGTTTGACTTGTGGTTTTGTCTTGTTTTCTTCTGAGAGGTGAATTGTTGTGATAAGCCCTGCAAAAAGTGGGAGGGAGTAGACTGGTGCGTTGGCGAGACCCTGGTCACTGATATGGCATTAGTGAAAGCACTGTGCCAGCAAGAAGCTGAGCTCTGAGGTTTGATTGCGGATATAACATCCTAAAAGCACAGCATTTTTCAGTATGGGAGATTTTGAGCTGAATTATGCATGAGGGGGTGCAGTTAGAGGGATAAGCACTTTACTTCCTTTTGCCAATGCAGCTCTGGATTGGACCCGTCATTATCTTGTGCATTTATCCTGGCAGTGAAGTGCTCAGTACCTGGTGAAAGATTTACAGCTCTGCTCCAGTGGTGCAGTTTGTTTGGGTCTTATTCTAAATTTGCCACTTCCTCTCCCTGGGTAGCTGATTCCCTGTTGCTTGGACCAGGCAGTGGTCCAGGCAGGATCATACCCCTGAGAGCCAAGCAGGATCTTCTCAGAGCTGTGCAAAACAGGATGCTGGATGTTAGCTTGAGGGGATTCAGGGTGCTGAGACTGCAGAAAGCTGCCCTCTCCTCTGACAGAACAACAGCTCTGCTCTCAGCTCTGTCTCTGTGTCCTCTCTATCATTCTTCACCTTCCCTCTGCCCTTATTCTGGCAGTTGCCTTTGAGTGATCCTATGCTGGAGGTTGAGGCAGGCTCCTGCATGTCTTGGCCTTGCATCCTGTTGGCAGAAAGCTGAGAGTGAGAGATGTTTGGGAAAGTTTTGTGGTGTTTTTTTGTTTTGTTTGGGTGTTTTTTCTTAAAAAAAAAAAAAAGAAAAACCAACCAAAAACCAAGAAGCTTCACTATTCATTCATTCCCCAAATAGCTTTCCCTTTCATTGGACAACATCCTCCTGCTAGGACAGTCCAAGCCTGTTCTGACAGACAGCTTATCTGCTTTACAGCTCTGACTGCTTCCTCTGTCTCTCCTTTGTGTGGGAGGTGTTTTGTCTTCCCAAACTTCTGCTGACTTCAGTGGGTGCTCGCCTGTGCCCGAACACGCACTGATAGTGCAGCTCAGTGCCGAAGTTCGCCGCTGGTTTTTATTTATGTCCCTGCAGCGTGTTTTTCTTTGCAAAGGGAAGGACTCGAGTGGCTTGGGGAGAGCAGGAAGGTTGCTGTTGAAAGTTAATGAAGCTGAGGTTCTCTGTTCACCCTGTCTGGGTCCATCCTGCAAGTCCTGCTGCAGGACATGGTGAAGGCACTGGTGTCGAGGGGTGCCACGCTGGTGGGGGTCCAAATTTGGGCCTGACCTGCACAAGAACTGTATCTGAAAAAGCCTAGAGCAGCCAGCTTGCTGCTTTGCTGTGTTGCCAGCTGCTAAGGCAGTTTAGAGAAATTCCCAGCCTAGTTTTAAGTCTGGTAAAAGTGGAGAGAAGTGTGTGTGTGTGCATAAAGCAAGGGTTACAAATGTTGGTATTTTTAGCAAAACAAAGTCAATCAGGTTTGAAGCTGTGGTTTGCCACTGTGCGTTCCTGATACAGGATCAACGCTTTCCCTGAGATACAGTTTCCAGTCTACAAAACCATGGATGATGGTTAGTTTTCTTGAATCTCCAACACTTCTGTGAGTCTGTTCCTTCTGGAGGTACATTGGGGGGTGTTTACTGTGGTTTTAACTTTTCTCCCTGAGCTGTGGGATCCTTCCTACTGGCCATGCAATGCCACCACATGTCCAGTGCTCCTGCATGTGCAGCGGCGGCCCAGGGATGTTTGTAGGTCAGGGATGACAGATACTGAGCAGCACTCATCAGTGCTATTAATTAATTGCATTCCAACGGCAGCGAAAGCAGTAGCAAGAGTAATAAACAAATTATAATCTACATTATGAAGCTGACAGGTGCCACCCACTCATTACCTGTCTTTAACCACTCTCATTACTACCCAGTCTTTGTGGGAACTAATCTTGCTGCTCAGTGTCCGACTTGTTCATTTAATGCCATTATCTGAAGCAATCGGCCCCTCCCTGTGAAAGAAGAGGAAGGTGCTTTTCCTGAGGCTTGTTCTCTGGGAGCTCTGAGGAGGAGGCTGAGGGAGCACTTTGCAAAAGCACGGTGTGGCTGGGAACTGAAATCCACAGGGACAATCTGGGGAGGAGCTGGGGATGGGTGGCAGGGTGGAAGATTGTAACTAGGAGGAAAAGTCTGCACTCTGTTCATCTCCATGGGATTGAGGACTAATATCCAGTGAAAGGGATATTAGGAAGAGCCACAGTTTTTTCTCTCCGGATGTTTTCCAGGGTTCGGAAGCAAGCTGGGTTGCTGAGTAATGACAGTTCTCTTTGTGGCTGCCCCAGGGCATTGCAGGAGGAAGTCCTGATAGTGTTTCTGTGGGGATCTGCTCAAGCTCCCCCTGGGAAAAAGAAGCTGTGCTCCAGGAGTGGTCTGGTGTAGGTGGAGTTCAGCAGGGTCAGGGATGCTCAGCCAGAGGAGCCTCCTCGGTGCCTGGCTGCTGCCATTACCTTGTCTCTGTCCATACTCAGTGTTAATGACTCTGCTGTGCCTGAGCTGCAGCTGTTCTCCTTTCCTCGCTGACACAACTGGGAGCCTTCCTGGGGAAGATTATTGAAGCCTGGAAGCCGATGAGTTGGGCTGAGAGAGCAGATGGGAAAATAGGTCTTTTTCCAGATACTCCATGGGTGGTTGGACCCTGGCCAGCCAGAGGTCCTGTTGTGCTCTCAGAGTTTTGGGATATGTCATGGGGGTCTCTAATGAGTAAACAATAAGCTGAAAGCTGAGAAATTAAGGCTGAGAGGTGAAGGGCCAGCTTTCCCAATGGAGGATTGGCATCAGTCAGATGCAACAAGGGCCTGTCAAAAACCAAAGCTGTTGAATGTGTCTGTTAATGATAAAGAGGAGTAAGTGGCAGATGAAGTTTGCTGCTGACTATTCAGAGTAGCAAAACCCAAAAGCTGCACTGAACAGCTGTAGGAAGTCCTTGCAATGTGGAGTGGTGGGGTTATAGCATATGATGCTGAGAAAAGCAAAGCGATCCAGTGGGAGGAGGGAGCCATCCTAGTCTAAAATGCAGTGCAACAAGCTCAGAAAGGGAAAATGCCACAAGGGAGAGAGATCTCAGAAGTGCAATGAACTGTGCTATGGGAGCAAGGCTTGATTCTGAGGATGGTCAAAAAACCCAAAGCCAGTCACCTTCTACAAGAAGAGCTGAGAACAAACAGTATAAATGCACTGTATGAATCTGTGGTGAATAAAGGCTTCTGTAGGCTTGGGGGATGTTGGAGTAAGTAATACCATGAAAATCCATTGAGTGGACTTTTAAATATCAATACACAGTATCTTGCTGAGAAAATCCCACAACTGCAAATAGCTGGAGCCTGGGAAAGTGTTTGTAATGTAACATAGCTACATCCTTGGCCTGTTTTTATACTCTTCTCCAGGTGCTGCTGTCAAGTCCCATTGAAAACAGGACACAGGGCAGGATGAAGCTTGATCCAACAAAAATTAGTGGCTCTGATTCCTCCGCTTTTCCAAGAAGATACTGTCCTGGAATGAGCTGTGTGTGGCACACTGTGGTCGTGTGTGTCTGAGGAACTTTTATGGAGGCTGGAGACACTGAGGTCTCTCTCTGTTCAATAGAGAGCTGCTGAGGTGCATGGCTTGAGGAGAAAACTCCCGAGGTTATTGTACATCTGTTATCAAATGGACATTGCAAACAGACAGCCAAAGCATTGAGGTCTTCGTACCAACAGGAACATCTTATTCTTCACCAGCACCAGGCACTCTGAAATGAACAGATTCCTTAGGCAATGGAAAGCTATTCCCTGGGTCAACAAACCCACCTCTTGTCTCCTCTGAGGAACGTTTGGGCAAGAAACCAACTCCAAAAGGATTTGCTTTCTTCGACCTGTCCTCTCTCATCTCAAGTACTCTGCTTCTGGTTAAGAAGGACTGGATGATGTGGAAGTATCTGGATGGGTCAGGCCAACTCATCCTGCCCTCAAAGCCCTCGTGTGCTACTTAAACCCACACCACAGTGGGGCGAGACACTGTGT